ACAATTTTACCCCATGTCAGATTTGCTCTAAATGCTTTGGTTTCAGAGATATTAGCCAAAATCTACATTTTACCCCTTTGTTCTATTTTTAGCCATGGCGGCCATCTTGGTTGGTTGGCTGGGTCACTGGACACATTTTTTAAACTAGATACCCCAATGATGATTGTGGCCAAGTTTGGTCAAATTTGGCCTAGCAGTTTCAGAGGAGAAGATTTTTGTAAAAGTTAACGGACGACGACGACGGACGACGGACGCCAAGTGATGAGAAAAGCTCACTTGGCCCTTTGGGCCAGGTGAGCTAAAAATGCTTGTTTTTGTGCCCCTTTTTGGCCCCAAATTCCAAAACATTTAGGGCAATTAACCCCAAACTCAAACCGAGCTTTCCCTTTGTGATATTGAACCTTGTAGTACAATTTCATAAAGATCCATACACTTACACAAGTTATTGTCCTGAAACTAGAAAAATGCTTGTTTTTTGTCCCTTTTTGGTCCCCAATTCCTAAAATTTTGAGGCAATTACCCCCAAAAATCAATCCCAGCCTTCCCTTTGTGGTATGGTACCTTGCAGTACAATTTCAGAGAGATCCATACACTTGAACACAAGTTATTGTCTGGAAACTAGAATAAACTGCTTCGCTAAGCGCAGCTGGATACGCCCGCAGAGGTCTAACCCTGAACAGTTGTGGCAAAAATGGACACAATATGCAAGCTTGATACAGGTCTGAATTTGGATTGTAATTAAATATTTGACATATTAAAGGTTTCTGAATAAATGTAGTCAAAGAACTTGAAATTGGTTATATGAATTGAATTTATATTCAATTAAAGATTTCTTGCTGTTGTGCAATACACTGTGCTGTTGCGCAATACTAAGTAAATCTGTTGTTAAACTATAAACAAATAAAGTTCAATTTCTTCTCAATGTCATATTTGAAATTTATGAAAATCAATAGGGAAATTACATCAATAGCTATAAATAATTCACCAAAGTTTCATGAGAACTGATGAAAGCATTTTTGAGTTATTGTCGAAAAACTGGAAAATCCCCCCTTTTTTAATGAATAAAACCCTATAACTCAGAAATGTAAAATCTCAAATTTATAAAATTCTAAAGGGAGCTTACATCAACAGATATAAACAATTCACCAAAGTTTCATGAGAACTGCTGAAAGCATTTTTTAGTTATTGTCAGAAAACTGGAAAATCCCCCTTTTTTTATTAATAAAACCCTGTAACTCGGAAACGCTAAATCTAAAATTTATAAAAATCGAAAGGGAGCTCATGTCTATAGATATAAACAATTCACCAAAATTTCTTGCAAGTTGGTGAAAGCATTCTTGAGTTATTGTCGGAAAACTGGAAAATCCCCCCCCTTTTTTATAAAAAAAAAACCCAAAACTCGGAAACGGTAAATCTGAAATTTATAAAAAATGAAAGGGAGCTCACTTCAATAGATATAAACAATTCAATAAAGTTTCATGCATATTGGTTAAAGCGTTTTTGAGTTAATGTCCGACATGTTGACAATGGACGGACAGACGGTCAACGGTATACCATAATACGTCCCGTAATTGAGCGTATGAAATTGCTTATTTTTGGCCCCTTATTCCTAAACGTTTTGGGCAATTACCCCCCAACTCAATTCCAGCTTTCCCTTTGTGATATGGAACCTTGTAGTACAATTTCAGAAAGATCCATACACTTACACACAAGTTATTGTCATGAAACTAGAAAAATGCTTGTTTTTTGCCCCTTAATTCCTAAAATTTTGAGGCAAATTCCCCCAAAATCAATCCCAGCATTCCCTTTGTGGTACAATGTCAGAGAGATTCATACACTAACACACAAGTTATGTCTGGAAGTTACAAATATGCTTATTTTTGGCTCCTTTTTGGCCCCTAATTCCTTAACTGTTGGTACCATAACCCCCAAATTCATTCCCAACTTTCCTTTTGTGGTATTGAACCGTATGGTAAAATTTTATAGAGATCCATTCACTTAAACTAAAGTTAGAGTGCGAAAACCAATGTGTTTTTGGACGTCGACAACGTCATACCAATATATGACCACAAATTTTTTTTGCGGTCGTATAAAAATTACTTGATATTTAGAAGAAAATAAAATTTTTCCAATTTTTCCATTTACAAAGGGGCATAACTCTAGAACGGTTAAAGTGACGCCACCAAAATTCCAACTTGATCTGTGTTTTGTGGTAATCAGCATTGTGTATAAGTTTCATAACATTAGGTTGAGGCAAACTCAAGTTAGAGAACATTAACGGAAACCAATTTTGGGACGTACGTACGTACAGACGGACAAGGGTAAAACTTAATGCCCCCACCGCTACAGCGGGGGCATAAAAAGTCGATCGGCCACCATTATATAACTAGTCCGAGATATTGCTGATATTAAACTATAGTGTAAGTTTTATAAAAATCTGGCAAGAATTGTACCTGTGAGAGCGCTAACAAGACCGGACGGATGGACGCCTGGTATTTCCATGTCCTCTGCAACACATTACACAGCGGACAATAAAACAAAAAATTGTAGTCCAATATCTTCATACCTAATTTTTTTCTTTAAATCAGATGGCTACGATACAACTTTAATTTATTGTTACACTACTCAACTCTTACAATTATAGTGTAGAAATTCCAATATGGAACACATTTTACTTTATTGTAGCAATTAAACATTTTTATGATGTTTCAGCCACTGGCCTTCTCTATTTTTCTATTACCCTTCTAACCTACATGGTAGACAAGTCACTTTCTTCAAATTATGTCAAAAACTGATTATGCCATATATTAATTTATTGATATGTTCATTTTCTGAAAAATCAGTTTATAAAAATTTTGAATATTCAAAACAAAAAGGCTTTTTTACCCCAGGAATAGATTGTGGTAGCTACATTTGGCACAATTTTTAGTATTCATTGGTCTTTAAGGCTCTTCAATTTCATATTTGATTTCGCCTTCCTGTTTTAATTCAAGTTTTTAAAGGGTTTTACAGTAGTTAATTGCATTAACGTGATGTAGGGATCTTGCATTTGCCAAATTTTCATCTTCATTTGCATTAAGTATTTATCAAAGCTGAAAATTACCAATGTAAAGTTTTACTACTCATAACATGTGTACTGTTGAGACCAATTTATAGTAAATAGAATATTACACACTATAAATCTTTGATGGTGGTTGTCATTTTTGCACTGTGATAAGTGGATCCCTAGTCAGAGATATATATGTACATACTTGACTTTTCTTTCTTCCATCTGTGGAGGTCTGGTTCTCTGTGCCTTATCACCCATTCTTGTGCCCAGTAACTTTCCAGTAAGGGAAACAACCTCTCCTGTAGATTCATCACGAGCCCTCCTGTCAATCAGTGACCTATCTGCTTGCAATACAAGATTGGAGTTCTGAAAAGTAATCAAAATTCACCATAATTTTTTTTAACAAATTGGAGAGTATGAAATAAGTTTAACCATGATAATTGATTGAATAAAATTCTACAATAAGCATTGTATTTGATGATTATAACTCCTATTTTAGTTAAGACATTTAAAAGAGGACACTGTACTCCTTTATAAAGTTAAATCTATTACAGAGGGTGACTGGAGTATAAAAAAAAATGGTAATCTTGCAATTGATCTTCTGACAAACAGTAAAACCCTAGCCAAAGTAGGGCATGGGTTTGGATGTGAAGAATGTATAAATATGCAGCCATGTCCAATCAGAATGGGTACATTAAATCTGATGCCTCATATTAATTTGAGTGCCACATTCTCTGCACTCCAGAACCCTTGCAACTACTCTTCGATGGGCCTGTAGCAAGGTAAAAGTTCTGTCCCTATCCATTCCAACCTCATTGTTTTGCAGTGGTGGCCTCATTTCCTGCCCTTCATCACTACTGTCCCACCCTCGTTCAATTGTTAAAAATATTTCTTGTTGCATGAAATAATGCAAAATGGACTTTAAGCAAGCAGCAATCAATCATTACATAAAATCTCATTTACCTGCAGTAATCATGGTAATATGTAAGAAATAAAGGAGATAACATGCCAAGAACTTAAACTTTGCAAGGAATACAATATATGTGGGTTCGGTGTACCCAAGAAATCTAGCTTTAAAACTTAGTGTTTAATGCCATTTTCAGCACTATTTGGTATATTGTGGCAATTGAAATCTAGCTTAGCCTTAGACACTGGTGTTACGTCTGGCTATCAACTTTTTGACAAATCTTTGTTTATTTCAGAGAAAATTTTACTAGTACTAATATCGGGTTGCACTTATATCAGATTTTAAATATTTCGGGACGAAAGTACTAATAATTTTATTGTATTTTACTATTCATTGACATTGTTAAATAACAGTCGTAAAACAACACAAAGTCTCTGTTGTTTTAATATCAATTCTGTCCATTTATTGTTAAATAACAGTCTATTTATTCTAAAATAACTGTCGTAAAACAACACAAAGTCGCTGTTGTTTTAGAATTAATACGAAAGTTGTATTTTGATTCGGTTCACATGTAACAAAGCTCAACCAGTTTGTCATTTAAGTCTGGGTCAAGAATATAATTGACTTACAGCCTTGTACTCATATTGAAGCGATCTGGCCGCTGCATCAGCCATGTTCCCTCCTGTTGATCTTTATTTAACTGTTTTGAGCGTTAGTATTCTATTCCATGCGGCTACGTTTGTATTTCGTTTTGTTTTTTTTAAAAGACGCTAGATGGCATTACACTTCCGGTTAACAGTTCCGGATAGTTGTGTCTTCTTTGTGCTAATTACACTACTGTTATATCCCTCATCAAACAATTTAATTCTGAAACGAACATTGAAGCTTTTAAAATAAAGTTGAGTTCAGATTTTTCTTTCGAAAGTTACTGAATTTAAATGATCAAGAGAACAAATAATGTTTCTTTTCCGTGTTAGTTTTCAAATTAGGCTATTGGGATTCAAATAATTAAAACGTTTTATTCAACGAATGTCTTCATCTATTTTCAAGTTCAAATTCGACACCGACAAATTCAGAAAGAGAAAGTACAGTAATTACATCTAGCAGGTATGCAAGATCATGCAAGTCATATAGTCAAATTTCTTGGAAATAATCAGTACAATTCAACAGTATATGCTATTTAGGTTAAAAAAAAAGTTCCTAACAATTATTATAAATAATGATTTGGACAAGATAGAAGGACTCAAAGAGTTTGCAGAAGGCACAGGGGCTCGTCTTGTGAGCCATAAAAGTGTCCTGTGAAAAAGTGTCCATTTAAATGTGTCCGATGCTGTGAAAAATTGTCCATTCAATCGGACATAATTTCATGATAAAATACTATTAAATTCTGTCCTTTATCCTCAATGATTGGAAGTTCGTTACCCTAACTCGAAATGAAAAAAAAATCACAACCTTGGAGCAAATATTATCCACTGTGCATGTAAATATTCTTTACTGAATTGCAAACAGTCTGCTACATTTAATTGATGAATATCTTAAGAAACATGGTCAATCTGTCTATGTTTTGTATTGTGACCAAATTCCGTAAGATAAGTAGACATGCTTGTAAGTTCGTGACCTTTGTCTTTGACGGTGGCTTTTGAGCATGTGCAACAATATATTGGTCAGGCTTATTGTATTATGTATTTGAACATTTCAGAATAAATTTGAGATCAAATAACAAATGAATATCTCGGAAAAAAAAGAGAAAAATAGATGATGACTCATTGTTGAGATGTCAATAACATTGCTGAAGGATTTTCACAAGAATTAAAAAAAAATTCTAGGAGAGGAATAAAACAGTAGTAGTGGAAATAGACGTTTAAACAAATAATATGCTAGAACATACACAACTTCTCTCTTTCAAGCCGATATTAGTGAAAATGCAATGAAAAATATTCGGTTAAGTTTTTTGAAGTAGCACGTTGCCGATGATAAATACTTTTGCATGACGTCACAAATAAAGTGGAAATCCCCAAATGTCAGGAACTTGCAAGCATAACGAACTTGCAATCATCGACAATAAAGGTTGATTTTCAATAAGAGGACACTTTTTCACAGTAAAAAGTGTCCTTTAAAGGGAGATGATAAGTCACTGAAATGTTTTAGCTATAATTAATTTTGTATTACTTAAACAAACCAATTAAGATCCAGTTATGATTTGATATAAACAAAATGGAACAAGAAAGGCCAAATGTAGGAAGAACAGTATTTATGAGTACTATTCTTGAATATTACATGATTTTGTAAATTGAAATGAATTACATTTATGTTATTTACATAGTTCATATTAAGTTCTATTAAATGTGTTTGTGTTTGTATCAGTACATGTTTTATTGTATGATTTATGTTTAATTACACATGCTGATGATCACATTTTGTATGAATTCAATACTCCAGTTTACATGCCATGTTTTGATAAAGACAAAACCCCTATGCTAATTTTAAAACTTCAATTTAGATAAAGAACTGAAGCTATGTATATATTTTGTAGGTATTGAGAGTTAACACCTTTTCACTTGAAATACTGTCCTTTCTACATGTTCTATGAAGGACACTTTTTCATATGAAATACTGTCCTTTCTTTGAAGGACACTTTTTATACGACCGCAAAAAAATTTTGCAGTCATATATTGGTATGACGTTGATGTCGTTGTCGTCGTCCGAAGACACATTGGTTTTCGCACTCTAACTTTAGTTTAAGTGAATGGATCTCTATGAAATTTTACCATAAGGTTCAATACCACAAAAGGAAGGTCGTGATTGATTTTGGGGGTTATGGTACCAACAGTTAAGAAATAAGGGGCCAAAAATAAGCATTTTTGTAGTTTCATGACAATAACTTGTGTGTAAGTGTATGGATCTTTCTGAAATTATACTACAAGGTTCCATATCACAAAGGGAAAGTTGGAATTGAGTTTGGGGGTAATTGCCCAAAACGTTTAGGAAGAAGGGGCCAAAAATAAGCATTTTTCTAGTTTCCAGACAATAACTTGTGTTCAAGTGTATGGATCTCCCTGAAATTGTACTGCAAGGTACCATACCACAAAGGGAAGGCTAGGATTGATTTAAGGGGTAATTGCCTCAAATTTTAGGAATTTGGGGCCAAAAAGGGGCAAAAAACAAGCATTTTTCTAGTTTCAGGACAATAACTTGTGTGTAAGTGTATGGATCTTTATGAAATTGTACTACAAGGTTCCATATCACAAAGGGAAAGCTGGGTTTGAGTTTGGGGGTAATTGCCCTAAACATTTAGGAATTTGGGGCCAAAAAGGGGCAAAAAAACAAGCATTTTTCTAGTTTCCAGACAATAACTTGTGTTCAAGTGTATGGATCTCTCTGAAATTGTACTGCAAGGTACCATACCACAAAAGGAAGGCTGGGATTGAGTTTGGGGGTGATGAATCATAAGGGGGTTCAAAAAATTTGGGGGGAGGGATTTTTTTCCTTTTTCTTCTTTAAATTTTCCATTTTAAATTGGTTATTTCTGATTTATATATAAAAGCAAATAATAATGATATGGTTTGAATAGGTAAATTAAAAATTTATAAGTTTTTAGACCACATTCATTCTGTGTCAGAAACCTATGCTGTGTCAAATATTTAATCACAATCCAAATTCAGTGTGTATCAAGCTTGAATGTTGTGTCCATACTTGCCCCAACTGTTCAGGGTTCGACCTCTGCGGTCGTATCAAGCTGCGCCCAGCAGAGCATTTTATTCACATGTGTGGACACGATTTCACAGGTAAATATTGTCATAACATTATGTCCATGGTTACAATTTACTATGAAAAAGTGTCCGGTGGGCATAATTTCATGGCGGACAATATTTAATCCTACAGTATCAGGTATCAGGTATCAGGTCCATTGACCCATAGAGTCCTTTCGCCCTACTTTTAAAAACAAATTAATAAATATAGTGGTATTAAGATTTAATAAACTTATTCAGATATTTATATGATCAATACTAAAGAAAATATATATTCTCGAAATTCATGAAAAATCATTGTTTTCATGGTTTTAGAGCATTTATGGGCTTCATTCTTACATTTGTTTTAATTAGAATTAATTTTAATGGCCGTTGATTATAATTTAGAATGCTGATTTAGGTATAATTATGATGTCTGAGCTCACTTTTTTTTTTATTAATTGTCTGTTGGATTGATAATGAAAGTAACGTTTTTTTTTTAAATAAACTAGTCAGCTTGGAATGAGTAAAAACAATGATGTACGAATTGTAAGACATAAATGGAATTTTTCTTTTCGCACACAGCTTGGCTACTTTGATCTCAAGATCGTTTTGACACATTTACTACATAATTATGTGCTCTTTAACATGTTTAAAATAATAGTGTAGAGTAAAAAATTAAGGACATAACTGGTGTGTGATTCGAAGTTCGAATTGGATCTTGTTACTATTAATGATTGTTTTGAAATTGTTAAAATTTATCAATAAAGATAAATACATGTAGATAACATGGTCTTCAGTTGTTTTGTATTAAATTCCTTGTATTCCTGCATGGTACTCTACAGTGCAGACAGAGACATATAAATACATTTAGTATATATGTCTCTGGGGCAGATCAAAGGAAAATAGTCATTTTCAACAAACTTTAACATACGGTACTCTTTTCAAATAATAAGCATTATACAACAAGACAACAAAATAGAATAAAAAATAGAGCGAATGGACCCAGGGCAAACAGGTATAAGGGCGAACAGACCAAGGGTTGAACAGGTACTAGGGCGAACAGACCCTGATTCCTCATATCATAGATGTTTTTGGGGCAGAAATATATGCTATTCGACTGGTATGTGTTCTACATTGTGTTTAAAGCGGAAAGGGAAGAAACAGTTCACAGGGATTGAAAAAACTGGGCTTAACTACACTTTCATACAGGAGAATAAAAAGAGATATGATTGAAACTTTTAAAATTGTAAAATGGCTGCTAGTATTATAACTTAAGGAAGCAAGCTCTTTTTCAAATTGATAGAGGACTCACAACAAAGAGTCAGTAGCATAATAATAAAGTGGTACACCAAAGGTTTCAATCAAATATCTTAAAACACTCATATTTTGTAAGAAGAGCCAAAACTTGGAATAAATTGCCAGATACATGTAAGATTACCAAAGCCCCTAATCCCTTATCAAGACCTATTAAGTCAATTAGGGAAAATGTTTGCCAACTACCTCACCCCAAACTGGTGCCTTTTACAGCTACAGCACCATTCCATACACCCAAAGCAGGTAAGGTATTTTCAAAACGGATTCTGAAAGGCTGATATGTCATCTATTCAATTCTTACCTGCTTTAGGTGCAGATAATGGTGCTGTAGACATAAAAGACATTTTTTTGTGCCATTTTACTAACTGTTCTTCTTTATTTGATTGCCCTGTTTGTATCTTATGTAATCTAGCATTTGGAATCATTTTGCCTTTAAAAGCACACATTTTTTAATGTTGAATCAAATAATTTCTGAAAGAATACTTTTATATTCTGTTAAAAAAAGTTAGTTGGAAAAAAATATTGAGAAATATGTTGCAGGTTTGTTATTTCTAAATAGTAAAGTAGAACCCATTGCAATCAAATGAAAAAAAAATCAAATTCTTAAACTTGTTATATTTCCATCTAGTGAAAGCAGAATTTGAAATCTATGTTAAGGATGTCTATTTCACAGTGACTGTCATGACTTTTGCTTAAAGTGAACTGCACCATACTTGCAAATAGTTATTGATATCTCTATGTGTGCATGAACTGTATGCAAATATACATGATATATAAACATAAGAAGACCTATGTGGTATTATTGCCAATGATACAACTCTCCACCAAAGAACAAATGGCATAGACGGTAACAACTATAGGTCACCGTACGGCTTTCAACAATGAGCAAAACCCATACCGCATAGTCAGCTATATGATATACATGCATTACAAAAAGTTTCTGACAAAAATTAAGTTTCATTGATGTATAACAGTTAACATGATATACCCACGATACTTAAAATGAATATATCTGAAATGTTATTTAAATAAAGTAGTGGAATTTGCATGTTTACAGATGGTCAAGACAGAGATACCTGAAAGATAATTTCTTTTCCTGCATAAAAATTGAAATCCACAGAAAATAGAAAATGGTCATGTCATACATTCATGTATCAAGGATCCTTAATAATAAAATTGTTTACTATCTATTTTTTGCCCTTTTAAACTTTTTGTGTTATAAGGTCAGCTTACCTTGATTCAGTTATAATAATATATATTGTTTATTGCTCCATTTGTGTCTCTTGTTGTATGTCAAGGAACAAAATCATTGAAATCAGTGAGAAACCCTTAGATACAAAATGAGCTATATAAGTCCCTTAGACATGTTAGAGCCTTTAGTTTATATTACTTGGTGGATTTGTTAGGTTCTGTTCTCACAACATTGATTGATTGATTGATTGATTTTGGTTTTGGTTTGAACTCAAAACCTCAGTGTTTACAGGCTAGGAATGTCTGTAGATGATCTACTTAGACCACTCAGCCACTGAGGCCTCTGCTCTTACAACATGTTGAAGGTTACACACTGAAGAAATACATGTATATGAAAAACATTACTGAAAATGTGAAACTTATTTTCAGGAGGAAAATATTAATGGTAATGAAGAAGATGCATGTATAATTATATACAGAAATGAAGTAAATCACAGTACAAACGCTAAAATTGAAATTAAAAAGAGCTACTACAATGGATCAAAATACCAATTGCAGTAAAAATAATGATAATTCGAATTGTGATAATGAAATCGTTTATGAAAATAAACAGAAAACTGATAACAATGCACCACAAGAAGAACAAGAAAATATTAATTATCAAGAAAGTAATGAGATGACAGAACAAAATAGAAAAACCAGTGAGGGTGTTGTGTCAGATACATTGAAAGCTGATGGAATACAGACAGAACAAAAAGTTAGTGATGATAAAGTAAATGGTAATACTGACAGTGAGGAGGGTGACTCTTCATCAGAGGAGGAGTATGAATCTGCTGATGAAGGAGAAATTGAAATAGAAGAAGAGCAACTAAAGTTGGAAGAGGAAAAATTGACAGAAGAAGAAAAAAATGTAAGATGATAATATTTATATCAATACTTATTAAACTACAAAATATCTATGTATATGGTGAAAAAAATCGTTACTTCATGTTTATGTTTATGTGAAATAATATACTTTTAATACATATATTTGTTAAGTGATCTTAGGCAATTTTAATATAAGTCATAATGATTTGTACTTACTTAAGCATAATAAAGTGGCAAGAAAATACACACATTTTTATTTCAATACATTAAAAAAAACCAGTATCACAATATAGAGAAATATCTAGAATAAAGCATTTTAGAAATATATATTGAATTTAATAATATGGCCTGGATATTTCACAGGGATTCCATCATTTTGATTTGCATCCCTGAAATCATGTGGAGTTTCAAAGAGGTTCTTAAATTCAACATCACTGCTTGTATGTTATCAATAACAATGGTATAACAATGAGCTGGAATAAATAAACAATCAAAAAGCTTGATTTAACTACCAATTTACTGGTTTCAGTATCTAAATATCAAAATAAGATTTGAAGGATTTTTTTTGAAGTCTTAAAGGGTTGTAAAACATTTCTAAACAAGATGTGCTTCGGTCAACAGTTTTTCTTCTCAATAAAACTACAGAAAGAAGCATTCAATTCCAAAATTACCAATGTTTATTAAAATAACAGTGTACATATTTTTCTGTATTTTTTTCAGTTAAAGAAAGCAGAAGCTCAGAAATATAAAGATGAGGGGAACAAAGTTTTCAAAGAAGGGTTCTATAAAGAGGCTATAAAATATTATAGTAGAGCTTTACAGACCTGTCCATATTCATACTTCAAAGAAAGGTCGATAATGTATTCAAACAGAGCTGCTTGTAAACTTCATATGGTAAGAGTTTTGAAAAATTCAATTCCTTAACAATTAGGATGTTCGTTATATGAGCATCCCATCTTAAAATACAATTTGATGCTTATCCAGGATACCTGATTCAGTTCGAAGGTGTATTACACTATACATATATATATTTTGTTTGTGATTGTATGGCTAAACATTGCCAATGTTGTACCAAAGCATTGCCCATATTGCATGATTTACAATTTTTGTACGTGAAGAAAAGGAGATTTCAGGTGTGTGTCAATGAGACAGCAACCCAATGACACAAACAGCCAAAAGATATCTAGTAACATACAGACAGTATATAACTGAAGACTTTGTTGTAAGAATTAGAAAAATCCTCTCCTCCCACAGTTTTCACCCAAATCAATTACTTAACATAGAATGTTTGCATGCAAATTACAGTTTTGCATTTCCATTGTTGTCCATTGTTCTGTTTCTTGGGTATCTTTCTTTTTTTTTATGCCCACGCCGTAGCGGTGGGGGCATTAAATTTTACCCTTGTCCGTCTGTACGTATGTACGTACGTATGTCCCAAAATTGGTTTCCGTTCTCTAACTTAAGTTTGTCTCAACCAAATGTTATGAAACTTATACACAATGCTTATTACCACAAAACACAGATCAAGTTTGAATTTTGGTGGCGTCACTTTAACCGTTCTAGAGTTATGCCCCTTTATAAATGGAAAAATTGCAAAATTTTTAGTTTCCGTTCTCTAACTTACGTTTGCCTCAACCAGATGTTATGAAACTTATACATAATGCTTATTACTACAAAACACAGATCAAGTTTGAATTTTGGTGGCGTCACTTTAACCGTTCTAGAGTTATGCCCCTTTATAAATGGAAAAATTGCAAAATTTTTTTTTTCTTCTAAATATCAAGTAATTTTTAAAATTGGAGTTATCTTCCTTTGTCCATGATTACAGTTGAATCAACTACAATCACTGCTTTATACAATGCAATGTTTAATTTTGACTTCCACTGATAAAACACAGATCAAGTTGAATTTGGGTAGTGTCACTTTAACCATTATTGAGTTATGCCCCTTTATAAATCGAAAGATTGCAAAATTTTTAGTTGCCATTCTGGTACTTAAGTTTGCCCCAACCAAACATTATGAATCTTATACTCAATATTCATTACCACAAAACTAAGATCAAGTACAAATTTTTGGTTTCCGTTTTCTAACTTTAGTTTGCCACAACCAAATGTTATGAAACTTATACACAATGCTTATTACTACATAATACAGATTAAGTACGAAATTTTGTGGCGACACTTTTACCATTCTTGAGTTATGTCCCTTTACAAACATAAAAATTGCTGAATTTTACGTTTCCGTTCTCCAACTTTAATTTGTCTCAACCAAATATTATAAAACTTATACACAACCGTTCTAGAGTTATGCGTGTTTAAAAATAGAAAAATTGCTGAATTTTTAGTTTCTGTTCTCTACTTAAGTTATCCTCAACCAAATGTTATGAGACTTACACACAATGCTTATTACCACAAAACTCAGATCAAGTTCAAATTTGGGTAGCGTCACTTTTACTGTTCTTCAGTTATGTCCGTTTATGACTATATGATATGCAAGCGGGGGCATCATCTGTGTCCACATGTGGACACTATCCACATTTATTCTTCTTATGTTTCAGGTCTCAGTAATTCGGTCATTTTTAAAACATAATTAAGGATGTAGATCATCATGTTTCATATGATTTGATTGATTGATTGATTGTTTTCTTAAACGTCCAGTGTGCTATGATTTGATGTTTGAAAAATTGAAAATGAAAATATGAGTTAATCTTTTAAGTAGTAACAATAGGTGGTTAACAATGTAAATATTTAGCTGTTATTTGTGTCTGGTTGTGTAACAATTAGCTGTTATCAGTGAGTTTTGCTCAAGTTGATGTAATGATAGCCTTATTACTGGAGCACATTCATGAAAATGATCATTTTCCCCTGCTATCAACCATTCTTGAAGATAGTAAGCTTTTATTTCGTATAATTGTGTAATGAGTAGTTGCATTTTTATACCCCCGCCATAGCAGAGGGGGCATTAAGTTTTACCCTTGTCCATCTGTACTTACGTCCGTCCGTACGTCCCAAAGTTGGTTTCCATTCTCTAACTTTAGTTTCCCTCAACCAAATATTATGAAACTTATACAAAATGCTTATTTCCACAAAACACAGATCAAGTTTGAAATTGGGTGCCGTCACAATAACGGTTTTTGAGTTATGCATCTTTATAAACATCAAAATTGCTGAGTTTTTCGTTTCCATTCTCTAACTTTAGTTTGTCTCAACCAAATGTTATGAAACTTATACACAATACTTATTACCACATAATACAGATCAAGTTCAAAATTGGGTGGCGTCACTTTTACCGTTCTTGAGTTATGCCCCTTTATAAACATAAAAATTGCTGATTTTTTTGTTTCCGTTCTCTTACTTTAGTTTGCCTCAACCAAATGTTATGAAACTTTTACACAATGCTTATTACCACTTAATACAGATCAAGTTTGAAATTGGTTACAATTAATTAAGCCATCCTTGTTGATATTGTACTTGAATTTGATATTTATTGTGTCACTAGTAGTTGCAGATTGTATATCCTCTCTCTTTCTACACAAACACTAATTATTACAATCAGTGAAATACCAATTGGTATAGAGAAAAAACAAACTATAAAATGTTTCTAACTGAATGATATTACTATCACAGATGATAAATACACAGTGTTATATAGCCAGATAATACCATATTAAAGAATACTTTAGTTTACATAAAGAATGCTCACAGCTCCTTACCTGTTGACATAAAAATAATGCCTATTATATTTTAATGTTCACCACATTACTTATGTTCTTTTGATTTTATGCAGCAATGTAATAAACAATGCGAAACAACCAATTTGTTCAATACTCATTGTAAATTTGTGCCAAAAAATTTCAATACAGCATTTTATTGTAAACAACTGTCACCTGCCTGTTTTTTTAAAGGAAAAATATGATGAAGCTATAAAAGACTGTAGTAAAGCGATAGACTTACACCCACACTATCTGAAAGCTGTACTACGAAGAGCAGAATTGTATGAAAAGGTGGAAAAATTAGAGGAGGCTCTAGCCGATTATCAAAGAATTATAGAACTTGATCCTAGTCATTACATTGCTAGAAGTGCTTGTATGGTTGGTATATTTTTTAAATTTCAAATATTCAGAAAAAATAATTTTCTGTCTTGTAGCCTGCAATGCTCCTTTCCCTTCCACCCTTTTCAAGGAAGAGACCTATTTACAATCAATCATACCATGTGTAGTTATGCTAGATAGATTTTATTCTATGATTAGATTTACTTTATAATTTCTTTAAGCTTCACATATGAATCTTTGTCATTTCTGCATATAAGAATTTTTTAATGCAAAATCTCCTACAGTTTATTTTAACATGAAACAAAACTTTGCCTGCAAATTTTTCATTTGAGCCAATAAGTTGATTTTTTAGAGTAACTGTCCTTTACATCTTGGACAGGAGAAAAAAAATATGATTCTATTCTGCAGACAAGAGATGACAACATTCCATCTGTTTATAAATATACAGAATTTGACCACGATGTAGGTATCATTTAATACAAATAACACATTTCCTTCTTCTTCAGAGACTTCCTGACCAAATAAAAGAAAAGAATGAAAAGTTAAAGGAAGAAATGATGGGTAATTTTAAATAACAATATGTGAAATAGAAGCGCTTTTAATTTGTTTTTTACTACATGTTTTTTTTTCAATGATATATTTAATATAAAAAAAACAAGGAGCAGTTAATTCTAAAAAATTTAAGAAGTATAAAAAAAATTAATATAATAAAACAATTGTTGACTTTGATATCAGTTGATACTATATAAATAACACATAGCTGAGAGGGTGATAGAGCAGATTGTTACCCCGAGAAAACATTGTCAACTGAGGCGAAGCCAAGGTTGACAATGTCTTTTCGAGGGGTAACAATCTGCTCTATCACCCTCTCAGTTATGTGTTATTTAATTTATTATACTGAATGTTCTGTTATTACCGTCGATTAAATTTCAAATTCAAAGTAATAAACTATGACGTCTTGTACATAACAACCATCCGTATTTAATAAAGCGCACACTTGATCAAGCATCTCCGTGAAGGGTAATAGAGTATTTGCCATAGGATAGAGTCATATTTAATAAAGCGCACACTTGATCAAGCGTCTCTGTGAAGGGTAATAGAGTATTTGCCATAGGATAGAGTCGTATTTAGCGCACACTTGATCAAGCGTCTCCATGTAGGGTAATAGAGTAAATTAACACCCTTGTATTAGCCAATCAAAATATGGCATTTTAACGTGAAGTATAATTAAATGATTTATCAACCCCGAAGATATGACATTCACATGCTGCCGTTGTACTCGGTGAATATCATATCTTTGAGGTTGATAAATCATTTTATTATATGACTTTACATTTTCTGTTTGCTCATTGGTTAAAAGCATAGGAAATCCTCTTTGATAAAACATTATATTCACCGAGGCAAAAATCACGAGAGGTTAATATAAGATTTGGAACAACGTCTGTGTACCAAAATATAGATATTCCAAGGCAACGTCAATGACGTCATGTACATTCCTGTTTTTTTCTTTTCTTCTTGTTTTCGGTGTATTTTTTTTAGTAAACTTCATTGAATATTTCAACTTATGAAAATTAGCAACTGCAAAAGCAGATGATATATTTAGTATAAAAACAGGGAGCAGTTTTTAAAAGTATCTTGAGCAAATACTAGAAAATTGGAGAAGGATAAAAAGTCGTATAATAAAACAATTGTTGACTTTTGATTTTTGACATTCATATCTCTGGGGTTGATAAATCATTGTATCAACCTCATCAAAAGTCAATAATTGTATAGTATCAACCTCATCAAAAGTCATTAATTGTATAATATCAGGGAGAGGATGTTATCAAATTCTGTTTGATTATTATTATCAATAAGATATTTGAAATTTAAATTGATTTTTAAAATTGATTGATCTCTGAAAAAAAAATTGGAACCTAATGATGATGAAATTAAAAGTGTTGCAATTAATTATAATTGTTAAATTATGTACTGGTACTTTATTTACAGGTAAATTAAAAGACTTAGGCAATATGGTTTTGAAACCATTTGGTCTTTCTACAAACAATTTTAAAATGCAACAAGATCCAAAGACAGGAGGATATTCAGTGAATTTTCAACAGAATCCTGAGTCATGACAACAGATCAGACTTTAGAAACTTGGTGATGAGTTCTTCCTGACAGAACTTATTAACTTGTGTAAACTCTTATACATCTGTCCATTTCAATGCAAAGTTACTAAGGTATTAAAATCATACTTAACAATAGTCTGCTTCTACATGTTGGATTTTAATCAAATGAAAGAATATAGCGCTAGAAATACATCGATGTGTCTATTTGAACTTTTATAAATGGTTTTAATGTTATTTTGTTTTTGCCAGTGGTTCCTCAGATGTAAGCAAAATCATGTTAAATGTTTTTTTCATCACCGCAATATATTGAATTTGTATATAGATGGAGGGTCTCACTATTTCATTTGTAGAATCATATGGGGTTTTGTTACATATAAAAATAAAAATGGACTTGCACATAGTATGAATTAACATGTTTTACCATAAACTGAAGTTTTCCTCTATAGGAGCATTTTGGATGTTTTTATCAGATAGTTATGTTTTCATTTTAATTTCTTGTTTAATTAGGGAATCAGCATACTGAAATTTATTACCATGGTCGAGTTGTCTTTGTTTTTTTGTCTTAATCTTTTTTTGCGCTATTGATTTTTCAACTAATAATCTTATAGTCTCTATTTGAAATTGATCAAACATCTGAAATCTGCAGTTTCTAATGAAACCACCAAATTTAATACACTCAAAAGAAAAGGGAGTCCTGATTACATAATTTTTTCAAACTATTTATCTTCTAATTTTGATAAATTTTCACTTTTGAAAAAAATTTCAACAATTAATCTGTGTAAAAGATATGTAATTTGGTTAATTACATGAATCAAAGTAATAACTGCATATAATATAAACAGTACAATTTTATTTTCAAGAGCTTTTAAAGGTCTTTGAGGGATTCAAGTTTTGTTATTGTGAAATGTTGGTACATAATGAAAAAATGTAGTGAATATATATATATACTTTGAGGTAGAATTTGCAAATGTTTGCCATGGTTGCAAGTAAAAAATTCAAAGGTTTCAGCTTTTTCAAAAAAAATACCCCAAATTAGGAATGTGAATATAAGTAATAATAGAATTATAAACATTACAAATGTTTGTACTGAATTGATATATATATTAACCTTAAGATATCTTTGGGGTTTTTTGTGTCTGTTGACTGTGACCTCATTTACATATATAATTATAAAAAATTCATTTCACCACAAATGGTACAATTTACCAGTATTTTTCAAATATGAAAAGATAGATGAATCTAAAAAGTGTTAAAGCTTTTCTCAGTCAGTCATCAAATTTACCCAAAAAATTTCAATTTCAAAATGCTTTGAAAAATTATAATATCAAATATTTAAATCAGAATGTTTCTTCAAAAAAATTAATTTTTTATCATTGCATTTAGTGATAACCATTATATCAATAAACCTCTTTCTTATAAAATTGTTTCTATAATTGCCAATCATTTTAAACAAATGAAACAAAGTATACTAAATGTAAATTCAATAAAAGTTGATATGGTAAACAAAGACTTTTGTCTTGTTTTTCCACTAACTATTAATTTCAAAATCTTGTTTTTTTTAAGATTCAATGAATGTTTCTCTTATTACCATAACCAAGAATAATATTACTAGGTGTTGACTTTTTCTCATAAAGAATAATGTTATTAGGTGTTGACACTTTTTTTTCTCAATGAGAAAAATGTTAGATTTTGGCCGTTTTGATATCTAGCATTATTTTTTTAAATCATAAAAGTAGCCAATTATAATTTTGTTATTTCCACAATCTCAAACTTCCCTACTGAGGCAACTAGAGCTACCATACTATCAAAGCGTGTTCACTATCAATTAGTAAATTGGATATTCTAGTCATCTCTAGGAAACTGAACAAAGCTTTCTACCATGAACTAATAGTTTTACCTTGTTTTTGGAAAGAAATCCATTACTGATAACTATAATACTAAAATGGTTTCCATGGAGATTATATAGCCCCACCTTGAAACTTTTACATAGTTTACAAGTTAATGTTTGTGTTTAGGTTTGTTTAAATGGAACGATTTATGAAAAGTCAATGGTATTTGGTATGCAGTTGTATTAGCATTGGTACATCTCATTTCCATGGAGATTGTTTAGCCCTGTACCTTTAGTCATGGTTCATTGACTTTGAATATTTGTATGCTACATTTTTGTACTTTACATGTTAAAGTATTGCTTTTTTAATATCAACATTTGCATTATCAAAATAACAAAAAGGCAAGACATATCTCTGTGTTAACAGTTTATTTTCAATATGAATGAAAATATTGACTTGTTATTTTCATAATTTTACTTTGATTAACTGGAAGTTTTCAAATATTTTAACCTTAAAGACACATTGCTTTCAACACAGCTGAGTAGATTCAGCTAGACAGCAGTATCATTTGCTTTATAAATATTTGTAAATTTAATATTTAAAGTGAGTTATCTCCTCTTGGAATATGTTTTTTTTTTAAGTACCGAGTTATCTCCACTTAGACTCAAGAAAAACATGGAAATAATTCAGCTCACATAGATATTAGCTTGATATAGTAATATGGAACTAGAAAATATTTATTTATCGTTTTCTGTCTTTTTTTCAATCATTAATTTATTTTGGGGGTATTATTTATTATATTCATTTACAGCATTATTATATCAGCAGACAGTGGAATAAAATAATAAAACACCTTGCTTCTCTGTCTTGTTATAACGCCTTAGAAATATGTTTTTAGCTTTTTTCTTCACCATTGTGCATTTATCAGAGTAAACAGATTTTTTGCAATCTATTAACACTGTGTAGTTTATTATACACATTTATAAGCAATGAAAACTAGATGACAGTGTTGAAATACTATTTAAAAAAATATAAATATGTACTGTATGTAAATCTGAATTACTTAAACAAATTACTATTAAATGATAATCATCTACTGTATCACAATCTTAATTGACTAGAATTGTCAGTTTTCATGCCAAAAGGTGGAGGTTCTCCTGCTTTCTCCACCAGTAAATACTGCCCCCACAATAAAACCAATAGTGCCGAAAGTGGTGTTAAATACCAACATTCAATCAATCAATATTCAATGATAAAACAGTCTTGTTAATCGTGGAAGTGTGCTTGGTGGGAGTGTGTGAGTTTGTTGGATCGATCTCAAAGACTTTTATATTAATAGTTATTTCTCCACCAAGTGTGATGCATTAAGGAGTATGAGTAATGACTGGTCAGTCTGGAGTCGGTTAGAATAATTACAGTCATATAATTTAGGGTAAAGATGCATCTTGTGGAGTATAGCAATCGCCCACATAACATAGGTTACTCTGACCTAGTTTTTAGGCTTCACTGACTGATATTTAGTGTAATTTTTGCTTCCTTGATTCAGATAGTAAGTAGCCCATATATAATTCTTAATTGCACAGAAGGTACATATTTTGAACTTTTTCAAAATAAAATTTACATATATGTATAGCTAATAACTGGTCCTTCACAAAGGATATAACAAACAAGTGTAAGATTATGTCCCCATCATTTGGTCTCTGGTGTATAGATTTCTCATTGCCACGTCTCGTTATTTATATACTGTATTCACAAAAGGATGGTCCTAGTTTCTCAATGAAAATTATGTTTGCTAATTAATTTTCCAGGGTTGCAAGGTCATAGAAAAAAAGGTACTTTTAGCTGTACTTCTCTAGATAAACAGTACTTATAATTAAGTGAAGTGAGGTTCTACTTTATACCTGCCAACTTTTCAAAATCTCCATGGGGGATTTTAAGCACAAGAGGACCTTATGCTCCTCTAATATTGTCATAAGTGTTCTTAATCTACTACTATATTGTTTTAATGAGTATATTTGTGCTTCAATACCCTGATTACTCATTTGAATGCCTGTTTGAGGTGTTCTGTTTATATAACAAAGAATTTCAAAATTCAGGTCAACATCTCTCATGGGGGATATCCCCCATAAATCGGGATAGTTGGCATGTCTGCTACTTTGATGTGCAAAACGTTTAAATTCTTGGCCATGTCCTATCAGAATGCCTAGTGTCTGACTTACATTACTCTTAGCACATTGATCCTTTATAGCTCTTCAGAGTTTTTTTTTTAATGTCGATAGCCAATTGAAGATTTCATACATGTTTACTCATTTGTAGATCTTATTTTGCTATTTACTAATGATACCTATCTACTTTAGTTGTTCTAAAAAATTGGTTAAAAAGCATTCAGGGGAAAGAACTTCTATGAAGCGTCAATATTTGATTTCGGTCATTAGACTTATTGAGCTGAACCATTTTTACCGTTTAAACACTCTTTATCTTCTCTAGTTTCTGCAAAAAATTACAAAAGAAAGGTAAAAATCTTCATTCAAGGGTTACCTCTAATATGTAGTCAATTGACGATTTTGAACACTATTGGTTTATTGTAGATCTGTAGATATAATTGTTCTCAACATTTTTTGTAATTAAAAAAGTTTCTCACCACCTACAATAGTTATCAAGATAATAACCAATAAACAGCTGCGCCACGAGCGCATGATACGCCCGTCGTCTTGTGTGTGACGTTCTATGCAATAATCATAACTCTAAAATAAAATTTTAAATCATCACCAAAAAGTATACAGATCTTTAGATTAATATAATTAAGAAGTGTGTAAAGTTTTAAGCAATAATTATAAATCGTTTTTGAGAAACAGCGCGACATGTGAAAGTCCCGTAACTCAAAAAGTTTTAATCTTATTTTCACCAAAAAGTATACAGATCGTTTGACCATCATAAGAAACAACTATGTTACTTTTCATGAAATTTGGATTAGTTGTTCTCAAGTTACGGTGCAACATGTGGACGCCGAACAGACGGACAGACAGACGGACGTTTGTATACCATAATACGTCCCGTCAAAATTTTGACGGGCTTGTAAAAAGGGTGAAATTTGATAAAAATTGATATTTCAGGGGCAATATTTTCAAAATGGAATGAGTGAATTTTTTTTAAATATTAGAGATAGACCTTGAACTGCTGATTGTATTTACTCTTATGTCAGATTTTCTCTAACTGCCTTAGTTTTTGAGATAAAAGCCAACAACTGCAGTTTACTCTTATGTTCTATTTTTATCAACAGCTGCCATGTTTGTTGATGGATCAAACCTCTGGATACAATTTGTAAACTAGATTCCCTTAAGAACATGCAGGTAAAGTTTGGAAGAATTTGGCCCAGTAGTTTCAGAGGAGGAGATGGACTGAGGGCAAGTAATGGCAATAGCTGACATTGCATTTTGGATCAGGTCAGCTAAACAGAAAGCCAAATTTGCCCTACATATCAGTCAATGTGTCAGCTTCATGTGGGAGGCCTCTGCATGCTAAGATGCATCCTTGCAATAAGTTATATGATTATAGGTCACTTAGTATCAAAGGTCTGAACAGGAACATAAACCTCAATCCTAGCCATTAAAGCTTAAAATATAGGTTAGAATAAATTACTTTTTGTGGGAAGCTAATGATACTTCCTTAGATGCATCTTTACACCAAATTATGTATTTTTAGGTCACTAAGTATCTTAGAGCTGAACTCTGACCTATCACTCAATGAAGTCAAAAGAGGTATAAAATGTTAGTCAGTGACCTTATTTTTTAAGTGGGTGCTATACTTCAAAGTTCCTGTAATAATCCTTACACCAAGTTATATGATTTTAGGTCTCTTACAATCTAAGATCTAAACTTGCCAGGAGCTTGTAATTCAATGGTTGTCATTAGTTAGTGTATATCATATTTGTTTTTACAATTGTTGTATTTTTACACAAGAGTGCACACGCTGAAATGTCTCGGCTTCTATACTGACCATTGATTTTATGTTGATAGTCCTACATATAAAGTTTTACTACAAGTATCACATTAACATTTATGATCCAAGAAAATGAGGTCAAGGTCTGATAAACCAAGCCGGAAATACATGTACACCTTTAATACAATCATTCCATACACAGAATATATATGACCTATTGCTTATAGTATAAAAGAAACACACCAAACCATGGAAATTCTATATTGACAAATGAACCATGAAAATGAAGTCAAAGTCAGATGAACCCTGCCAGGCAAACATGTACACCTTAAAATCATTCCATGCATCAAATAAAGTTGACCTATTGCTTAAAGTATCTGAGAAACAAAGTTAACCAGGAAACATTGACCAATCAACCATGAAAATAAGGTGAAGGTCAGATGATACCTGCCAGACAAACATATACACCTTACAATCATTCCATACACCAAATACAGTTGACCTATTGATTAAAGTTGAAAAAAAACAGACTAAATCACAATAAAATGCGTCGCTGAGCGCAGCCTGATACGACTGCAGAGGTCGAACCCTGAACAGTTTGGGCAAATTTGGATATAATATTCAAGCTTGATACTGTCTGAATTTTGATTGTGATCAAATTTTTGACATAATATAGGTTTCTGACACAAAATAAATGTGGTAAAAGATCTTACAAATCTATTGCGCAATACTGTGCAATTGAAGATTACTTCTTGAAACTTTTACAAAATTTGAAATTTGAAAATTTTTGAAAAAAATATGAATTCCTTAAAAAAATTGGAAACCCCCCCCTAACTTTTGGAATCCCCCCTTGGAGCAATTACCACAAGACTCGATCCAATTCTTTCCTTTGTAGTATGGAACCTTGTAGTACAATTTCAGAGAGATCCATACATTCTAACACAAGTTATTGCTTGGAAACTAGAATAATGCATGTTTTTGGCCCTTTTTTGGCCCCTAATTCCTATATGTTTGAGGCAATTACCCCCAAACTCAATCCCAGCCTTTCCTTTGTGATATGGAACCTTATGGTACAATATCAGAGAGATCCATACACTTACACACAAGTTATTGTCTGGAAACTACAAAAATTGTTGTTTTTGGCCCCTTTTAGGCCCTTAATTCCTAAACTGTTTGCCCCATAACCCCTTATATGAATCCCAACCTTCTACTTGTGGTATTAAACATTGTTGTACAATTTCAGAGCAATCGAAATACTTATACACAATTTATTATCCTGAAACTAGAAAAATGTTTGTTTTGGGCCCCTTTTGGGCCCCTTATTCCTAAATGGACCATCATCCCCAAAATCAATCCCAACTTTCCTTTTGTGGTATTGAACCTTCTTAAAAAATTTCATAGAGATCCATTAACTTAAAACTAAAGTAATTGTCCGGAAACCAATGTGTCTTCGGACAACGACGCAGACAACATCATACCATTATACGATCCAAAAAAATTTTTTGCGGTCGTATATAAACTTAACATAAGCAATGAACCATCAAATAAAACCTGCCAGACTGACATGTACATCGTAAAATATTTCCATACACCAAATATAGTAGACCTACTGCATACAGTATTAGAATAAAATGCTCCGCTGGGCGCAGCTTGATACGACCACAGAGGTCGAACCCTGAACAGTTGGGGCAAGTAGGGACACAACATTCAAGCTTGATACAGCACTGAATTTGGATTGTGATTAAATATTTGACACAGCATAGGTTTCTGACACAGAATGAATGTGGTCTAAGAACTTAAAAAATTTTAATTTACCTATTCAAACCATATCATTATTATTTCCTTTTATATATAAATCAGAAATAACCAATTTAAAATGGAAAATTTTAAATAAAAAAAAAAGGAAAAAAAGAAAAAAAAAATCCCTCCCCCAAATTTTTTGAACCCCCTTAGGGAGCTACCATTTGATTTTTATGGGGGGGGGGTCTAGGATGAAATTTGAAAAAAAAGGCAGGACAGGAGTTTTGAGTTTAAAAAAAAGGCAGGATGACAATGTATGTAAATAAAGTCAGGATAAACTAATTAAAAAAAAGGCAGGACCGAATAGAGTGAAAAATAAAAAGGCAGGACAGAGATTACAACTAAAAAAAAAGGCAGGACAA